TGGGGGGGAAGAACAGCCGTATTACTCATATCCAGTCAAAGTATCTCATTCGCCTATTATTAGAACCCACGTTATCCACACCAACACAGTCATATCACATCTTGTATCATTGCAAATGGTCACATTTATGTAACTTAAACGGCTAACTTTTAGAAATGTCATGTAAGTCAGGTCAGTTTAGTAGGCAGCCAACTCTGTCTATGACCATGATGATGAAATAATGAATGGATGCCGAAAATTCCCCGTGTGAGATAATCTCGGTCATTATGATAATGAAGGTGATGAGATCTTATCCTCAGTAATTAGGTGGAATATGATATCAAGCTGTGGGTACACTCTGTTGATAACTGTAAAAGTCCACAGAACCTAAGTCCAAAGCTTCCTGGGGATTGCCATCATTTAGTACCTGCCAATTGAAGGAAGGGCTAATTTGTCAAACTTCAAAAGAGGGGAGACATAAGTCTTTGCAAGAACTGGCGCGGAATCATGCTCCACTCCTGTCCAGCCAAAGTGAGCAAAATACCAAGCCGAATCATCCTGGAGAGACTAAAATATGCTCTTCATTCAAAATTACGACCGGAACAGATTGTCTGACTGGAATCAGGAAGAAATAATCAAGCACGGATCAAATTGCAAGGCTACACATCATCGAAGAACAGAGTATAGAGTGGCAGGCAACTATCTAACTCAACTTCATCAACTTTGAAAAAGCCTTCGACAGCGTCCACCAACAAGTAATTTGGAAACTGCTGCTTCAACACTACGCAATACCACAAACCTTTATCAATATCATTCAATAGCTATATGAAGACGCCACGTGCCGAGCGATTCACAATGGGAAGCTCAGTCATGCTTTTGAAGTGAAGACTGGAGTAAGACAAGGCTGCCGCCTACTATCACCGATGGTCTTCTTGATTGTGGTGGACTGGATCATGCATCAAACAGTGAGTAGGGAGTAGATGGGCATACGCTGGCTGTTTGATCGATGAAAAAATCCTATGAGATTTGGATTTCAATCATGATGATTTATGTCACACAAGCTCGAGGATGTACATGCAAGAACCAACAAGTTGAGAGAAGAGGTGGCGTAGCGAAGATGGGACTTCAAGTGGACAGAGGTGATGACGACACCCAACTAATCACCGTGAATGGGAGAAATCTAAAGGAAGCCGTCTCTTTAACCTACCTATCTGCCTAGGCAGTATCGTTTCAACTACAGGCGGCACAGATGATGACGTCAAAACCAGGATCGGAAGAGCAAAACAGGCTTTCGTTAATCTGAAATAATCAGTGCGGAGACCTATCGCACTCAGCATAAAGCGTGGACAAGATCCGGATTGCAGCACCAACGTCAAGTCAGTACTTCTACGTGATGGTTCAGAAACTTGGCGCGTCACAAACTACAGACATTAGTCAACAACTGCCTACTCTTGTTACTGAAGATCAGATAGATGTCCAGAAAGAACAAGGAACTCTGACTGGCAACGAAGCAAGAACCCATAGCCCAACAAATATGCACTGGAAGAAAGTGGAGATGAATTGGTCATACACTCAGAAGACCATTCGGAGACAACACGCGCCAGGCCCTCAACCGGAATCCAAATGGGAAACGATGAGTTGGGCGTCCGAGGCGAGGGTGACATGGAGGAGATGATGTGAGGAAGAAATGAAAGCTTGTGGGTAGTTGTGGAGCCACGTTGAAATAACTGCTGAGAACGGAGTGAATCCCCATGTTCCAGTCGGAACCCAAGGGACAAATGATAATAATAACAGTTGACATATATACCAGCGCCTCGCCAAGGCGAATCTCCTAGTTTGTAAGTCACACTGCATTCAGGACGAGATAACATGACGGTGGATAACCTCTGGTGACCAAGCAGCTTACACAATCTAGTTCTAAGTGAGGTCACTCGTGGTCCAAATCGCTCAGTGGTAGCGTCCCCAATCCAATAAAGAGTGACGTGGGTTTAATTGTCATAGTGGACATCACTTCTCCCGTTGATGAATGCCAAAAAGCACCAAAATCTAGGCAGGCGAAGGCCTCCAACCAATTAACAGAATAGCATAGGATTTGTGCGGCCGGATTGTTCAAGATGTTCAGAAACATGTTTGAAAGTCATTAGCCTACCTGTTGATGAAACAATAGGAGTGTCTGGAGCTGAAGAAAGCTTCTTACAACTGGTCGAATAAAAAACATGAAGATAATCAACTGACCACTACTTTAAAACAAAAGCAATTTCTTCTATAAATTTTAAGCGAAATGATGGATATTTCGATCCAGAAAGAAGTATGTTCTTTCTCTAGGTAACAAATGTTTCGTCACTTTCTTATGGGTGTTAAGAAATTAGAAACCAGCTGAAAGGGATGCTTGAAAGTGTATTGATTGGTCACGGGAGTGCAACCAATTTCATGTTGTCTAGTCCTCAGTGTAGACCGAATTCTATTGATCATATTTCCAATGTGGCAACCAAGCTAGGAAGCTCAGCATCGTGGTGCACATTAATAGATGTCAGTTGGCTGGAGGCAATCGACAGGAAGCCCTGTGCAACCTCGACGGAACTGATGTTCCTCCCGCCTGAGATTCGAACCCGCATCACTCAGTGTTGTAGTCAGCAACTTTACCACTGAGCTATTCGGGTCGCGACTGACCTCCTGTAGGACTGGCTTACGTGTATTGATTGGTCATGGGAGGGACATCAGTTCCGTCGAGGTTGCAGGTACGCCTTGCTGACTAGTGCCAAAAAGCACGAAACCAAGGTCTAGGGCTTCCTGCCGATTGCCTCCAACCAACTAACATGCTTGAAAGTGTTAGGTGGTTAGAGGCAATCGAGAGGGAGCTGTGTTTAACCTAGGTTTCTTTTTTATTCTTACTCGTCAGTAAGGTGTATTTGCATCTTTAAGAGAAGTGATCTCCTCTCTGAGACTGAAACCAGTTTTTTAACCAGCGACGTTCACTTCGACAGTTAACCGCCTTACTTGATGGCTACATTACAAAATGATCGATAGTAATCGGTTAGCACTCTGAACTCATAATCATACCGAATGTAACTACACTACTTTCGATATCAGATTTTTATAACCCTGTCACCTATCTCATGTTCTTTGTTTCTGTGTAAACGAGTTCACAGCCTCCATTGTGTTACCATAAAAGGAACATACATCAGTAACTTTACATAGGACTCTCAACAAAGCTGGGATTAGTTATGGTTGCCTTTAAACCTACAAACTCACTGAGTGATAAGCTTTGTCGACTGGTTTAAGGATCCGATAGAACCAATCATTGTTATTGTCATTATTATTTGCCCCTTGGGTTCCTAGTGGAACATAGTGCTTCAGTAGCACATCTCTATTACACTCTCTTCTCTGCAATCCTTTGAACCTGGCTCCACGACAGCCCACAAGCTCTCATTTCTTCCTCACACCATCTCTTCCATATCACTCTCACCTCGGATGCCAAACTCGTCGTTTCCTATCTGGGTTGTTGTTGCTGTTGGTGGTGGTGGTGTTGGTTGGGTATCATAATCACCTGTGTCTTCTCTATATTCACTTGAAGCCCCATCTTCGCTACCCCAACCTCTTCTCTCAACTTGTCGGTTTTCGTCTGTATATCCTCGAGTTTGTGCGACATAACACATTAGACATAAATCATCATAATTGCCGAAATCCAGATCTTCTTCTAGGGTCTTTTCAACGGTCAAACAGCCAGCGTATGCCCATCTTCTCCCTCCTCACTGTTTGATGCATGATCCAGTCCACCACAATCAAGAAGACCATCGGTGGTAGTAGGCGGCAGCCTTGTCTTACTCCAGTCTTTACTTCAGAAGCATGATTGAGCTTCCCATTTTGAATCTCTCGGTACGTGGCGTCTTCATATAGCTATTGAATGATATTGATAAAGGTTTGTGGTATTGCGTAGTGTTGAAGCAGTTTCCAAATTACTTGTTGGTGGACGCTGTCGAAGGCTTTTTCAAAGTTGATGAAGTTGAGGTAGATACTTGACTGCCATTCTATGCTCCGATAAAACCAATTAGGCGAAATAATTTTATCTATCAAATTCCATATAACTGATTGTGAGTCAGGTGAAGTACATAGGTGAAACCAGCCCTGTTGGAGTCAGTTAGATCAATGGAACATAGGAATCCAGCTAAATATAGAATGACAGACACGAATAAGATCAATAATCTCGAAAAAAAATCTCGGCTATTAGAATGCAGTGTATTAACAACCTCATAATCACACAATAACCACAGTACCACGTCAATGCACTGTTATCACATGGAGAGATATGGGAATTGATTATTGATTGTTTTTTCATCGAATCAATACTCAATACCTATGGAAAGTTTTACTGCCAATAGAAATAAAGAATGTTAGACAGACATGGAAAGTAGTATGATTACATTGAAGTATGATTATAGCCAAGGGTAGTGTGTGTTATCAATCAAATAAACAAATGTAATATGAAACATGAAATTGGTAGCTGAACAAAGATGTTACGATGATACTTTATAGGAAAAGTTTTCCTACGATATCTGCAGAAATGACATTAGTATTATTGTTTGTATTATATCGTCGTTGATTGGACCAAATTGATCCGTCTCTATTGACATATCGGCTCCTATGTGAATATCTCAATATTGTGTATGTTTTAATTTATATTATAGTAATGATGGATAATAGCTAGCAGTAGAGTCCAAAATCCTCATTTCATCCTATTTGGGATTCGTCAGCTGGATATACCTGCCTCCAAGTGAACTAGGGGACGAAATGTACATCCTGAATTCCATTGCTAACCGCTATCTATCTATGATTACTAGAACAATATTAGTTGATCAATGTAATTTTAAAATAATCAACTAGTTTATCTCATTTTTGAAGGATACTATTCATTAAGAAAATAATTTTTTTCTTGTTTATAATTGATAAATTTGATAACTTATGAACAGAGAAATCAACATGACTAATGAATGTTATTCGATTCTTTCTTTTATGCTTAAAAGAATTACGTGAAATATTTCGATTTATTGATAGAGATAATGATGGTACAGTCAGCAGACAGGAATTCAGTACATTAATTCGTCTTGTCAGCTCAGAATATACAGATAATCAAATTAAATTACTCATGAATAAAGCTGATATGAATGGTAAGTGAATTAAAACCTCTCCAGTATTCTCTTTGTGTTTTTTTAATCGTCATTGAAGGATATCAGAGATCGAGAATAATTTTTAATGTTAAGAGCTATAAGGGTGATTTTTGCCAACAAACACACAGAGTGACGTTAACGAACGTCATTCTCTCGATACCACCGTAGATCTTATTCTCGATATGTTTGATACCTGATTTTCATACTGATTCAGCTGTCCCACAGAAAGAGTATCGAGAAAACTATTGATCCATCAGTTAACAAAGTGAAACTCCTTCTGAGTTGATCAGATGGATGCAGGAGACAGTCTGACCGCGAATAACATCCTTTCGAAGAGGAAGATGATATGAGGATAGAGAGGGAAGCCTAGTCTGGTGAGGGATTAATCAAAAAGTATTTTGTCTGACCACGTCTACAGTAAGACAGACAGACAGACGGTGAATCAGCCAATCAATAGTCTTTCGACGCCAATACATCTTTCTACACGTCCATCGTGTCTTCTCTATTAATCAGTTGGGTCGGGAAACAACTAGGAATTTGTTAAACGTTGGTGGCTGACACTCGATTTCTGCGCATTGTTAGTGGCCATAGGATATGACAGTCTTCGGATCACAACAGTAGCGACAGAAATGCGAAATATATTTTTTGAAGTTGGACAATTTCCTAGAACAACAACAATGCAATCCAAAATTTCTGGTACTGAATCATCGCCTACTACACCAGTTTTAATACCTCCTTCAGTTGATGGCATCGAAAATAGCATCACTCAATTTCATGACAATCCTGGTGTCAATGAGACTTTCAACAGTCGGTTCAGGTGTTATGAAGGCTACTTCAAAGTGGATTTTGCTGGTCAATATGATTCCTGGAAAGTACGTCTCCCACTTCAATAGCTTCGTCCAACTAAACTCGACCAATACTGCAACATGATTTCGCCGCAAAACCCACCTGATCGCACTTTCAACACCACAGTCCAGACACTTAATGACATATCTACACAATATCAACGATTGAACAACCTACAGTGTGATACCAGTCTAGCCCAATCCGGATGCCAGGGTGGTTCTCAAGTTTATACACTTCACCAGACATCTCATTCGTCTGCATCACCCTCTGGCCACATATCACCTGAGATTATCTAGCCTATTCATCGGTCAAGTAATTCATGCGATACCAACCATCTCTCAAAGAAGACACCACAATCACCTTGCTGACATTGTGGTGCATGATACTTCATCAAATCTCGTCCACATAAACAACATGAATGCCTGGACTATAATGCTGAGGACGATAAGGGCGGGCTTCGCCACCAACATATAAAACCATGTTAACGTAGATCATTCTCTCGATACCACCACAAATCGCATTCTCAGTCGGTAGATAAATCTCCAGACTTGATATCTGATTTTCATGCTCATGTACCTCCCCCATCGAAAGAATATCGAGAAGACTACTGATCTTCGAGTAAACAAGGTGAGACTCCCTCTGTGTCGGTTAGATAAATGAAAGGAGAAGACGGTGTGACCCAGTCTGACCACAAATAGGATTCTTTCGAAGAGTGAGGTGATATGGGGGATAGAGAGGGAAGCTTAGCCTGGTGTGAGATCAGTCGAAATGTATTTTATGCTATCAGTCAATCAGTAGTCTTTTGATACCAATACACGTTTCTACATGTTCACCGTGTCTTCTCCATTAATTAGTCGGGTCGGGAATCAACTAGGAAATTGTTGGACGTTAGTAACCATATCACATAACAGTTTTCAAATAATTACATTATGTTAGTCCACTTCATCAATGCTGCGATTTGCATAAATCTTTTTATATAACCCTATATCAACTTATTCCTAATTATTTCAAGTTGTTATTCATCGAAGACTGACATCAGTTGGAGGAACAAAGGAAACCTGGGAGCACTGGACAGCTGTTTCGTCCTAGTATGGGACTCCTCAGCAGTGCGCACCCACGACCCCACCAGCAGGGATCGAACCCGCGACCTTCAGGTTCCGCGGCCAGCGCGTTACCATTGAACCACTGGGTCAGAATCCAATGCTCCATATTTCCAACTTCTGTTAGCTCACGATATAGCGCAAACCGCCACCCAATGTCATCGTTGAGTATTTGTCCTCACGGCCATCAGGCTTGACTCCACCGGTCACGACTTGTCATTGGAACTTCGGGAATACTTCTCGAAGCTAGTCACCAACGAGCACTAGTTCAATTAAATTTTGAGGGGGTTGTGGAGATTTGGAAATATTTCAGGTTTCCTTTGTTCCTCCAACTGATGTCAGTCTTTGATGAATAACAACTTGAAATATTTCCAAATCTCCACAACCCCCTCAAAATTTATTCCTAATTAATTTGAAAAGGATTCGAATTATTCACATCTCTTAGTTAGATAAATGTGTTACAATTCCTCAGAAAAAGTTTCTCTCCTTTAATCTTCAGTTTCTTATGTAACCAATGCTTTGTTACACACCAAAGATAAGCTACCACTTTCGATCTCCTCTATGTTTATCTATCAGTTTTTCTGTTCCTGTAAAGCAGTGTATGATGTTCATACTCAGCATCTGTATTCTCGATTTACTGTCGAACGCATACCAACGTGGTTTCACAATAAGAGAAGGAAAATCGTCATACAGCTCAATGTAAAAATATTTGATTAGTTTCAGAGACAAAGTAAAGTTGTAATCTAACTTCAGTGTGGTCGACTGGATCATGTAACAAACTATGAGGAATGAGAAGAGGAGAGTACGCTGGACCGTGGAAAAGATCCTAGAAGATTTGGATTTCGCCGATGATGACTTGTGTCTAATGTCACACAAACTTGAAAATCTACAGGCGAAAACTAACAAGTTGAGAGAAGAGACAGGGCAGGGCATGTCAGGGTAGAGCAGTGAAGGGAGATGGGAATTCAAGTGAACGTAGAGAAGATGGAGAGAGGTGATGAAGATACCCAACAAACACCACCAACAACAACAACAACAGACACCAATCACCATAAACGGGAGAATCTTAGACGAAGTAGCCTCTTTCACCTACATAGGCAACATCATTCCAACTACAGGTAGTGGCACACACCACAACGTCAAATCCACTCAGGATGGGAAACACAGCAAGACATGCCTTCCCACATTAACCTGAAACCAGTGTGCACATGTTCTCCACTACACTCAGCATAAAGCGTCAACAACATCCGGATTTTCAAACCACGCTAATATCAGTGAAGTCAGTGTTTGTGTGTGATGGATGAGAGACTTGGCGCGTTATGGAAAGCCTTTCCAACAAACTACAGATATTCATCAATAACTGCCTAAACTTGCTCGGTAGTGAAGCTGAGTTGGATTGCGAGAGAGAATAAGGAAGGAGGAAGTGTGGCTGGCTGTTTGGCTGTCTGGCTGTCTGTCTGGCTGTCTGTCTGTCTGTCTGTCTGGCTGGCTGGCTGTCTGGCTGGCTGTTTGGCTGTCTGGCTATCTGTCTGGCTGTCTGGCTGTCTGTCTGTCTGTCTGTCTGGCTGGCTGGCTGGCTGGCTGTCTGGCTGGCTGGCTGGCTGTCTGGCTGGCTGGCTGTCTGGCTGTCTGGCTGTCTGTCTGGCTGTCTGTCTGGCTGTCTGTCTGGCTGTCTGGCTGGCTGTCTGGCTGTCTGGCTGGCTGGCTGGCTGGCTGGCTGGCTGGCTGGCTGGCTGGCTGGCTGGCTGGCTGGCTGGCTGGCTGGCTGGCTGGCTGGCTGGCTGGCTGGCTGGCTGGCTGGCTGGCTGGCTGGCTGGCTGGCTGGCTGGCTGGCTGGCTGGCTGGCTGGCTGGCTGGCTGGCTGGCTGGCTGGCTGGCTGGCAACGAACCAACTAAGCAAGAAGCTATCACTGAACAAATAAGCATTTGAAGGAAGTTCAGATGGGCTGGATTGGGCATTCAGTGAGAAGGCCGACTGGGGACGTAACGCACCAGACCAGGCCGTCGAGTGGAACTGAGATAGTAAATGACGAGTTTGGCGTTGGAGGTTTGGGTGAGATGGAGGAGATCATATGAGGAGGAAATGCGAGGTTGTGGGCTGTCGTGGAGCCAGGTTGCAGAGATTGCCGAGAAGAGAGTGTAATGGAGACGTTGTACTGCAGCACTATATTCCACTAGGAACACATGGGAAAAATAATAATAACTTCAATGTTATTTATGAAGGAAGTAGGATACTCGTGATAATTATGCATTCAAAACTTCATCAAGCTGAGATAGCGAAGAATTATTCATTGTTTAAAGCCTGTTCACTACCAAAAAAGATAGATGAACTTCACCCATACACCGAAAAGGTTCGAATACTCGAAATTTTGACACCGATCAACAAAAAGATAATGAAAATCTTTCCATGATTAGAATCCATTGAAGGAGAGAAGACTATTTTGAATATAATCACCAGATAGATAGCCAAATCAACGTATAACTAAGCATACAAATGTCTCATCTCAAGTAATTACACTTGACAGCAACACACAAAATGGAATTGGCTAGAAAAATGGTTATACTAAAGTGTGTGTGTGTGCACATCACCAGAAGACTCCAATCATTGTTTTCTGTGACGTTGTAGATTTCAGAGATATATTCAGAAACTTCCTACCTAGTTTTGACCATTGATAAGAAACTTCATAGATTATTAAGATGTCTTGGTTTCCTTCAAACCAAACAAGATTCTGTTGAAATAAAGTGTTCCGCATTACTAGAGTGACCCTTAAATGACCTTGAAACGACCAATCAGAAACAGGCAAGTTGTTCACCAATACCTCATCAAAGTTCACTAATTAATACCCAGTGACTGGTACTAAACATCAGAGTTATGTTGTTAAGTATTGGGGATTCTCTATTCTTTTTATCCAAATTTCGAAGTCAACATGTAATAGTATTGTGTGTGTATTAGCGCTAAGTTGTAGCCTGATGTTTCCTGTTCATTGCCCATTTCTTCGACTTCAAGACATCACAAACGCTTGAAGAAGCATACAGAACTGACAAATAACTAATAACGCTTATATACACTGTTGTTTATTGCTATTTCGAACTGAATGTTTCTTTTTATATTACTGAAAATAGGATTAATCATTCAAGTTCCTTGACTAACCAGTCACCAAAAACACCAGAACTCTCCAGTTCCATTTGTGACTAAGACAGTTATACAATAATGTAATTGAATAGCTTTTAATATGCCTCTTACAGTAACCTCAAACATTATTGTTATAATATTGTGATGTGTTCAATGTAGAAGAAGTTAACAGTGAATGTAAAAGGACTCGTTTCGATGGATACATAAACATGAATCATATCAAACAGATAAGAAGACATTGTTCATAGAAGCGTAATTTAAGATATTTTAAGGGACTCCTGCTGTCTGTGATTCTGATCAGTAAAGTAACCAATAAGGAATTATAACTATCAACCATGAAGTAGTTTCTTCTCTCATTCTTCCAGAACACATAACTTAGATGTCAATTATAGAGGGTTTCTTCGGATTCCCCTTACTTGGACAGAATTTGCAATGTCACACTGATCTACAGTCGTATAAAAATCATCTTTATGATGAATGTTTCTCTTATCTACATTAGTATTTGGTCATTTTATAGATAGACTAGACGCTAAGCATTTCTACATGAGAGGCCTTCATTTGGAAGTAACCTTTCACATGACAGCAAGTATTTCTGTATGAATGTTTACGGCACAATGTTATCTAGATGATTTTTATAATGATGAACCAGGTGATTCACAGTGGAAAGTTCAGTGATACCTTTGAAATGAAGTGAAGACAGGAGTAAGGCAAGAGAAGATTGCCTACTATCACTGATTATCTTCCTGATTGCTGTCCACTGGATCATGAATCAAACCGTGAGGAGGGAAAAGTTTGCCATCAGTTGGCTGTTTGACCGATAGAAAGGCCCTAGAAGATTTCGATTTCACCGATGATGATTTGTGTCGAATGTGTTATGTCGATCAAACTCGAAGACGTACAGGCGAAAACTAACAAGCTGACAGAATAGGCAGGGCAGAAAATATGGGACGTCCGTCAAGTGAACGTAGAGAAGACAGAGGTGATGAAGATACCCGACCAACAGCAACAACAACAAGTACCAATCACCATCAATGGGACAAATCTAAAGGAAGTCATCTCTTTCATGTACCTACCTACCTACCTACCTACCTACCTACCTACCTACCTACCTACCTACCTACCTACCTACCTACCTACCTACCTACCTACCTACCTACCTACCTACCTACCTACCTACCTACCTACCTACCTACCTACCTACCTACCTACCTACCTACCTACCTACCTACCTACCTACCTACCTACCTACCTACCTACCTACCTACCTACCTACCTACCTACCTACCTACCTACCTACCTACCTACCTACCTACCTACCTACCTACCTACCTACCTACCTACCTACCTACCTACCTACCTACCTACCTACCTACCTACCTACCTACCTACCTACCTACCTACCTACCTACCTACCTACCTACCTACCTACCTACCTACCTACCTACCTACCTACCTACCTACCTACCTACCTACCTACCTACCTACCTACCTACCTACCTACCTACCTACCTACCTACCTACCTACCTACCTACCTACCTACCTACCTACCTACCTACCTACCTACCTACCTACCTACCTACCTACCTACCTACTTACCTACCTACCTACCTACCTACCTACCTACCTACGTAGGAGGCATGATCGTTTCAACTACATGTGGCACAAGGACATAAGATGATGTCAAGGGCTGGATCGAAAAGACAGCCAGATAGGAGTTTCTTCATTAATCTGAAATCAGTATGGAGATCTTCTGGATTCAGTATGAAGTGTGAACAAGATCCGGGTTTTTAAAACTACTAATGTCAGTCGAGTAAGTGCTTCCATGTGATGGTTGAGAGAGTTGGCTCGTCACAAAAAGCATTTCCAACAAACTTCAGACATAATACATGAACAGCTACAGCCTACACCCACTCGATACTGAAGACAGAAATCAAATGATGAGAAAGAATAAACAACAAGGAAGTCTAGCTGGCAACGAACCAACTAGGCAAAGAGGTACAACGCAACAAATATGCAGAAAAAAAAGGAGATGGTTTGGATTGAGAATACATTGAGAAGGCCATTTGAAACCTAAAGGCAGAGTGACAAGTTAGGCATCCAAAGCAAGGCTGACATGAAGGAGATTGTGTGAGGAAGAAATGAAAGGTTATGGTCAATGGTAGTGCAAAATTAAAACGACTGTAGAAAACACATACTACTGAAGCCCTATATTCCACTAGAAACACAAGGAACAAATAAATAAACAAAATACCAAATAGAAATGTATATCCTACTGATGAGGTTAAACAAGTATAGAGATGAAATATGGAGAATTGTATAGTCTGTTTTCATTGAACATTGAACACAAAGTAGTAAACCGTAACATTAATTATCTTTATTGTCTTATTGTACTGCTTATTCGATAGATATTAGTTAATTAGTAAACTAAATGAAAAAATCACCTTCATGAATATTATCTGATTGTTTTGTTTAAGTTTATCAAATAATTATAATGCGAAACTTTTAACAACATTTCATAATGAGCACGCTGTTCAAATTTCAATATATATATATGTATATATAACCTTTACAGGTGATGGTGAAATGGCATTTGATGAATTTGTTCGTCTTTTATCAAATGAAAGTGATACTCAAGAAGAAGTTTCAGCAACACGTGAAGCATTTGAAGTTTTTGATACGGTAAATTATTAATTGATTTCATAGGAAAATATCTATATATAGTTTAATTCAGAAGTTCATCACTGAAGTTTTCACTTATCTATGCAAGTAGTATAGCTGATTTTTCTGTAAACAGTTAACAATTGTATAATCTTGTCTAAGAAGTATGAATGTAGTGTTAGCATAAAGTCTATTCACTAAAATAAATAAGGATTCATGTAGTGATAATAATAACCCCAGTAGAGCTCGAACCAAATACCCAGAACATTATCCTCTTAGCTATTTCATACATGATACTAGAAATTATTGAAAGAATACTTTATCTGGTCTTCTTCTATTGATTTTTCAACTTTCTGAAACATTCTACAACAAACTCATCCAGTTACCAACAGCCTAGATGCAACGATGTACGAAAACTTAACTACAATAAATGATCTAAGGCTTCTGGATGGTCATAATGTCAACGAAAATCTGGACTAACAAACAAATCTAAGAAATAAACTCACCTAGTTACTGAAATACTTTACCTCATTTGACTCCGTTTTATAGTAGACAATTAACAGTCAATATACCTTCTTGATAATGCTGTATGCTTCAATGTGAATTCTATGTGCAAAACTACATCACCATTGGATAATAGTCCTTCAGATGTTTATCTCTTTGTACAGTAACAACTAAATCTGATAGATTACGTCTTTATTGCTGAGTAAGGTCACACTACGAGTGGGAAATACGAAGATTTATATGCTCATGTAGATTATATAGTTATGCTAACACTTATTGTTACTACCTGAAATCAATGAAGTGAGTTTTCGTTGGTCTACAATACTATAAACATGTGAACTGATGTCAAAATAAACTTTTGTCTGATGAAACACGGAACTATACCGCCAGGTTAACCATCTAGGTCAAATGTAACGTAAACGTCAAATATTGTACGATTTTCGTATCACTTTATTGTGTAAAAAGAATAGTGAGTGGAGGCAACCGACACTCATAAACAATCTGAATGTATTATGAAGTGATATTTTTCTGTTCTTTTCATAACCTATAGTTCTGTTTTATTCAGGACAGCTCAACTACTGGAACTTTCTTTACCATTATCAATTTGATGATGCCTGGCTTCTCTCATGTTAAACTGTTAATTTAAGAATGAAATATTTATTTATTAATTATTTACTGGAGTAGAATATCCACCTTTTGTGCAACCGGTGTCAGTTGCTGCCTATATACCCTATTTCTCAACAGACGTCTATCAATTCAACTCAGTATGGTAAGGGGATAAGTATCAATGTCAGTGAGAACAACACCATTCACTAAGAAATCGGTATCCTTTCGATGGAGAGTGTCAAACATGTCGAAACGAACGTTCTGTATCCAGGCAATATCGAGGCATCCACAGAGGAGCCCATTTGAGCGGTTCAATCTCGTATATCAACGAGATGTTATCAGTATCCATAAACAACAATTATAGCCTAGTTTTAAATAGGATATCCATCATGTGACAAACTCAAATCGTTTAGCGCCTACTTTACTGTGTACTTAGTTACCACTACTTCTCAACTTGAAGTTGACTGTTGATAAAACAGCTGGCGTATAAAGTCTGCCTCCACTTTGAATGTCTTATCCAATTATTATGGTGGAGAAGTGTGGCAACTTAAACCAACACACAGGAATGCCAAATAGTATTCAGTTTTTTAAGTAACAGTGGAAACGTGGAAGCACTGGATAGCCGTTTCGTCCTAGCATGCGATTCCTCAGCAGTACGCACCCATGACCCGCAGATTCTGTGACCAGCACATTACCATTGAGCCACTAGGTCGGTATGCAGTAGTCTACATTTCTCACTTCTGTCAATTCACGATGTACCACGATCTAAGTTCAATTTGATGGTTGAGTAACTATCTCTCAATGTCCGACTTGGTTGGTACCACTGGTCACTACTTCTTCCTAAAACCTCAGGAATCACCTGTCGAAATGAGTCACCAGTGAAGCACTAGGATATTCAATTCAACTCAATTCAATGACATTGGATGATGGTTGCCCTATATCGTGGACTGACAGGAGTTGGAAATATAAACTGCCAGATTCCGCAGACCCAGTGGCTCAATACTAACGTGATGGCCAAGAAAACTTAAGGTCCTGGGTGTAACAGAAAAATGATTTGAAAATCCCTCCTTATCACCCTATTTCATAGTATTGACATTTATTTGAATACTTTTACTCTCGTTATGGATGGTATACCTTTGACCCTAGTCGGTGCAATATTATTTGGTTGTTTGACTGTCTTCTTTAACTTTGTACTCAGTATTTGCCTTTGTATGATTGAGACTTATCATGAATGACTCTGAACTGTTGACAAGGTGATGCTGTTTTACTGCGCCCGACATTTTGTTCTGTGTTGCGATTTGACTGTTTGTCTTTTGACTGTCTACTGGAAACGTTAATTTGTTGATTTGATTCTGGTAGACAAAGTTTTGATCCCTTTTGTTGGGAATATTCTTATTGACTATCAGGTACTTAACAATTGTATTTGTTTAACCAGTTTTTACCGTATAGTACGTATTTGTGTTCGAGAACATTTGGACTGTATAATTACCCAACGGCACTGTTGATATAACTTATTTTTGCTTTGATAGTACCCTAGATTTTGTTACAAATCTACCACTGATTTACTACAAACCGTGTTTTGATATTTTGATCCAATTTTTGACTGTGCGTCACTCATGGAAGTTCAAAAGCTGTACAGTAGAACTCAGGGACTAGTCAGATTCACGTCAGTTGGCACCGCCTAGTTATTTCTCGCTTTCAGGCCAAGATTATTGAATTTTGGTTGTTACACTGGATACGCCTTGCTCAGGAATCCTAGTATGAATAATATCGCCGATGCAGATATCAAACGTTTCGCTCTAAAATGAAACATAATCACAAAGTAATGATTCAGTATTACTTAGCATAGTAAATTCTGAAGGATAAGGTTATCTCTCATGTACTGATAAATTTCATCTCAATGTTTAAGCATATTTCTTTTCACTTGTAGGATAATGATGGTTACATCACAGCGTCTGAATTACGTCAAGTAATGAATCGTGTTGGACATAGCTGTACTGGTAAGTTCACTCATTGGATATATATTTGTCAGGAAATTTTGAAAAACATATCTCTTATGGAAGCTATCTACATTGTAATCTTTGAGTAGACGAAGTTATAGTCCTGATGTCAATGGTGTTTTCTGTTTAAGCAACTAGGATATCAGTTCGAGATCTCTAAAAGAGACTCATATCTAAATATACCTTTGTTGTTAGTCAGTAATAAAATTAATGACACTACCTTTAAGCTTTTAAAGTTTCAATCAAATATGTTCTACTGACGACTACTTTCAACTACGAAACACAATTGTCATTAATCATTATCAGATATCTGACTCCATAGAATCAACTGAAAATTGAAAGTTAACAATGAGATTTTAATATCAGTCAAGGAAGTGAAATGAAATCTCTACTTCCTACTACGTCCGGCTACTTGAACGTTAGGTGGAAAACACTGGTAATGCAACTGAATAAAAGCCCTGTTAAAGAGTGAGCGAAGTTTTCAACATTTTATTTTTTTCTTATTAGTCCCTTGGGTTTCTAGTGGAACATAGGGTTTCAATAGCACGTCTCCAGTACACTCTGTTCTCTGAGATCTTTTGAACCTGGTTCCACGACAGCCCACAAGCTCTCATTTCTTCCTCGCACGACCTCCTCCATGTCACCCTCATCTCCAACGTCCAACTCGTCGCTTCCCATGGGGATTCCACTCGAGTGACTGGCCTGACGCGTGATGTCCTCAGTCGGCCTTCTCAGTGCATGCCAATTCAATCCATCTCCACTTCCTCCTGCATATTTGTTGCATGATAGGTTCTTGGTTGGTTCGTTCCCAGAGCACCTTGTTGCTTATTCTTATTATTCTGGCAATCCATCTGATCTTCAGTAGCGAGCGTAAGCAGTTGTTGATGAATGTCTGTAGTTTATTGGAAATGCCTTTCGTAACGCGCCAAGTCTCTGAACCATACAGAAGCACTGACTTGACGTCGGTGTTGAAAATCCGTATCTTGTTCCACATGCTGAGTGCAGAAGATCTCCACACTGGTTTCAGGCTAATGAAAGCCTGTCTTGATTTTCCGATTCTGACTTTGACATCCTCGTCTGTGCCTGTGGCGCCTGTAGTTGAAACAGTGCTGCCTTGGCTGGATAGGTGAAGGAGGTTACTTCCTTTAAGTTTCTCCCGTTGACGGTGATTGGAGTTTGTTGTTGTTGTTGTTGATGGTGGTGGTGCGGTATCTTCATCACCTCTGTCTTCTCTATATTCACTTGAAGTCCCGTCTTCACTGCCTCTTCTGCCAACTTGTTAGTTTTCGCCTGTAGATCTTCAAGTTTATGTGACATCAGGCTCAAGTCATCGTTGGCGAAATCCAAGTCTTCTAGGTTCTTTTCCACAGTCCAGTGTATCCCCCTCTTCTCGCTCCCCACTGTTGTCTGCTGCATGATCCAGTCGACCACAATCAGGAATATCGTGGGGGATAGTAGGCAACCTTGTTTCACTCCTGTCTTCACTTCAAAATCATCACTGAGCTTCCCATTGTGAATTACTTGGCATGTGGCATCTTCACATAGTTGTTGAATGAGGCGGATAAAGGTTTGCGGTACTCCGTAGTACTGAAGCAGTTTCCAAATTACTTCTCGGTCGACGCTGTCAAAGGCCTTCTCGAAGTCGATGAAGTTGAGGTAGAGAGCTGATTGCCATTCTTTGCTCTGTTCTATGATGATGCGAAGCGTTGCAATTTGGTCTGCACATGATTTGTACTTTTTAACATACTTGGTTGAAACTAATCATAAGGTGTATATGGATGAGTCGTTTTTCTCATTTTGTATTGGGTTATTATCAGCTTTCCAAAGTCTAGCCTGCATCGAATTCTTCATATTATAGAAGAGGTTACAATCAGGATGAAAAGACCTGATTTCTGTGTTCAAAAACCAATTAATGCGGCTAAAATGATCTTAGGTCGACGCACATGATGTACAAATTCCTCAACATGTTTTACCAGTTAATCTAATTTTCCAATTCCATACAGTGAATATCCCTTCATCCCCATTATTATTATATTATTTATTTGTCCCTTGGGTTCGGAGTGGAACATAATGCTTCAGTACAACGTCTCCATTACACTCTCTTCTCTGAAATCTCTGCAACCTGGCTCCACGACAACCCACAACCTCTCATTCCTTCCTCACACGATCTCGTCCGTGTCATCCTCGCATACAAAGCCGAACTCATCGCTTTCCATCCCAGTTCCACACGACGTCCTGGTCTGGCGCGCTGCGTCCCAAGTCAGCCTTCTCAGTGCATGCCCAATCCAACTGAACTTCCTTCAAATGCATATTTGTTCAGTGATAGCTTCTTGCTTAGTTGGTTGGTTGGTTGGTTGGTTGCCAGCCAGCCAGCCAGCCAGCCAGCCAGCCAGCCAGCCAGCCAGCCAGCCAGCCAGCCAGCCAGCCAGCCAGCCAGCCAGCCAGACAGACAGACAGACAGACAGACAGACAGACAGACAGACAGACAGACAGACAGACAGACAGACAGACAGACAGACAGCCAGACAGCCAAACAGCCAGCCACACTTCCTCCTTCCTTATTCTCTCTCGCAATCCAACTCAGCTTCCCTACCGAGCAAGTTTAGGCAGTTATTGATGAATATCTGTAGTTTGTTGGAAAAGCTTTTCGTAACATGCCAAGTCTCTCAACCATCACACACAAACACTAACTTCACTGATATTAGCAGTGTTGAAAACCTGGATATTGTTGACGCTTTATGCTGAGTGTAGTGGAGAACATGTGCACACTGGTTTCAGGTTAATGTGGGAAGGCGTGTCTTGCTGTGTTTCCCATCCTGAGTGGATTTGACGTTGTGGTGTGTGCCACTACCTGTAGTTGGAATGATGTTGCCTATGTAGGTGAAAGAGGCTACTTCGTCTAAGATTCTCCCGTTAATGGTGATTGGTGTCTGTTGTTGTTGTTGGTGGTGGTGTTTGTTGGGTATCTTCATCACCTCTCTCCATCTTCTCTACGTTCACTTGAATTCCCATCTCCCTTCACTGCTCTACCCTGACATGCCCTGCCCTGTCTCTTCTCTCAACTTGTTAGTTTTCGCCTGTAGATTTTCAAGTTTGTGTAACATTAGACACAAGTCATCATCGGCGAAATCCAAATCTTCTAGGATCTTTTCCATGGTCTAGCGTACCCTCCTCTTCTCACTCCTCACTGTTTGTTGCATGATCCAGTCGAGTCGACCGCAATCAGGAAGATCATGGTTGATAGTGGGTGACAGTCTTGTTTCACTCTAGTCTGCACTTGAATGACATCACTGAGTTTTCCATTGTGAATCAGTTGGCATGTGTGTCTCCATATATGTGTTGATTGAGGTAGGTGGATGTTTGTGGAATTGCTTAGTGTTGAAGCAGCAGTTGCCATATTACTTGTTGGTCTATGCTGTTGAAGGCTTTTTCAAAGTCGATGAAGTTGAGGTACAGGGTTGACTGCCAACTAACATGAGTAACATTATGTTAAGCAATTATTCGTCAAAATATCTATTTGTCTATCATGTTTTCTCCTTTAATTAGTCTGGTCGGGAATCAACTAGGAATTTCTTGAACGCTGGTGACTGACACTTGATATCTGTGCGTCGTTAGCGACTATAGCACACAGCAGTTTTCGAAATCATAACATCTAGAACAGTGTCAGTGAAAACATTGTCAAACCGATAGAAAGATGCTTAGTACATTCATCGAAAGATATATGAGCTGAGCTTGATTTAAGCTTAAATCCCTTTTACCCATTCAATTATACGAAGAATCTGATAAGAACACTTACCAATCATGAACGTGAACTTTACTCTGAAGAGAAAATTGAGGAAGAACTGACCTTTATCGAACACTACCCTACCTCTGAAAGTTCATTTGTAAGTATGGTTGAAAAGAAACAAACTGAAATCTAGTGCAGTACAGTTAAGAAGAAGTTCAACTGTTGATATTTCAACTTCATAGGGGATGAAATCACCACATGGATCAACCATAGACTAAGTCTTACACTGAAAAAGGCTTCTCCAGTCGTCAAGATGGTCTCGTATTTCTGAACTAGTCACGATGAATGTAAGCCTTAAAAGTCCACAGGATTTAAATGGCACTATCTTTTGGCTGATATATACTTGTTATTGGACAGAATGTCAACGTATCGAAATTGTTCCAAGTGATCAAGCAATTGAAACCCGCCATTATTTTCGATTTACTGAAATCCATCAAATCAGCAAGATACTATTATCAATCTTAGTATCCTGTAACATTATGTTTCTTATCATAAACACTGTATTCTGTAGTTGTAGATTACTTGATGGTTAACATTAGAGTTAAGGACGCATGTTTCGTCCTGTTTAGGACTCGTTAGCTGCATGTAACTACCCTCCTGTGAATGGTGATGTCCTCCCCTGATATTCAAACCTAATACTCATCATTTGAAATTCTGAAACGTTAGATCAATAAAACTAGGGTATCATCAACCCAGGATTATATCCTTAAGATTGTAAAGCAGCTGAAGAGGACCTACAAGATACATTCATACTTATTCTATTACTACTCTTCTCTTTATTTTATTCATCATCTACATAATCTGCTATTATTTTTATTTCCTCCTATTTAGATTTAGATGTACAAGAAATGTTATCTGAAGCTGATCAAGATGGTGACGGTAAAGTGACCTATGAAGGTAAGATAAATGTAAGAAAAATAATTTATCTTGCCTTTAAAGAAAATTTCACATTCACTTATCAAAGCATTTTATATAAAGGATGAAAATATGTTGAGGTCGAGTTGGGTAAAATAAGTAACAAAGATAAATCTCTCAGTTGGTTGGAAATTGTCCAATTCCGAAGAATTCATTTCCCAATATTCCATCTCCATCATTAGTGTTATGATTCGAAAAGTGCTATGTTGCTATGGTCTCTAACGATGCACCGATATCCTAGTTAATTCCTAACCCGATTAGTAAATGGAGAAGATACGATGGACGTGTAGAAACGAGTATTGACGTCGAAAGACTATTGATTGGCTAATCCACCCTCTGTCTGTCTAACTATAGACATGGTGACAGAATACATTTTGATTGGCCTCTCTCCAGACTAGGCTAGCAACTCAGCAAATAATGGTAGGAAGGACTAGGGTTGGGGATTCCCCTCAGTTTTAGTTGATCATAGGACTCATTGGGAAAGACGAACCGAGGTTAAAACTATTAATAACAGTCCAGTCGTCAAGCCAGAGATATAACACTTTCCCTTTATGAATAAACCTGTTGGATATAAGCTGTGTAACTATATTTTAATATACATTCCACTAGATATAGTCTGAATTTGAGATCCAGGTGTTTCAGTGTCTGCGAATATGATGTCAAATAAACATGACTACATAGTAATGATGGATACTGGCTAGCAGTGGAATACAGGATGCACATTTCGTCCCATTTGGGACTCGTCAGCCGGGTGTACCTGCCAGTGGGAGATATTGTTCCCACCAGGATTCGAGCTCGCGACCGATCACTCCAAATGCCAGAGCGTTATCCATTAGATAACCGAGTCACGATAGCCACATCTTGTGAGACAGGTATAGGTTTAGTGTTATTGCTTGTACTGTACCATCGTTGATTGAACCTAATTGATCGGTCTTTGTTGGCATATGGGCTTCTGTGCGGATACCTCCATTAAGCCTGTAGTACAGGGAACGCGAAGATAGAGGCGAAGGAAGGAATGTTTTTTATTGACATCATGTACAGTAGTCGTCATATATTGCTAGCCACTATCCACCATTATAATATAATTAAAAAATAGGCTTTATGGAGACATCCGCACAGGAGCCCATATGTCAGTAATTACCGATCGATTCGGTCCAGTCAACTACAGTGTAATACAAGCAATAACACTAAAATACGACTACATTAAATTTGCAAGTGTTTAGTGACACTTTAAGTACCGTATTAGTCATCCACAACATATTAATTATGTTTTGTTCACGGCTATATCGACGGTTATAAACATGTCGTTCCTGTACCGTTTATAGACGTGTTCTAGGCTACAGTTAGCGTTCTTCTTAACACAGATGCTGTGTTGTTCTACTTGAATAGTAGAATTTTATAAAATATCTTCTACTTTACTAAACATAAGTAATCATGATTGGTTTTTTCTGATGGATTATTTATACTTACAGCAGTAAAAGATGAAGTTGAAGTGGATATCAATTGGTAGAGCATCGTGTCCGGAACCTAATAGTCGCTGGTTCGAGTCCGGTCGTCGTACACATTTTTATTTCACCTTCATCCAGTAGAAATACTAGTCTATCAAACCATACCTACCATATCAGACAGTTAAAATACAAATTACGAAAATGCAAGACTTAGAAAATATTGGGGAATAATAAGGAGGCATAATAACACACATTTCCACACCTTACTTGACATTAAAATGAGGTGAAGTAGGTAGGCAGGTTTAAGTACAGTTAGAAACCCGTTATATGACTTTTTATTGAACGATACTTCTCAATTTATTCACCATATAAATGACAATAATATCAAAGATAAGACAATGTATTCTTTTAATGTAAACTCTTCGTTCACTAACATGCCTCACCTTCTTTGTGATGATATATCCATTGAATATTCCTTCTTCTCCCATCCATCCAAAATATTTGACACAATTAACACTATTATCCACCGATAAGGTTACTTTCACTTTCGAAGATGAACATTTTCGACAAGTTGATGGTGTCTCTATAAGGAGTCCTTTAGCACCATTGTTAGTTGATGTCTATATATCATATATAGAACTTTTGACTGAGGATATTATAAACAAAGTCTGTTTGTACAGGAGATATATTCATAATATCTTAGTTATATGTAACAAACAAGAGGATACGAAAAGTGTTTTACATTGATTTAACACCGTACAAAGTAACTACACAGTGGGATGAAATTGAATACATTCATCTCAATTCACTGACTTAGATACTGAAACTATCTTAATATATTTCCTGGATAATGACAGTATATCAGAACATTTCGTGAAAATGAAGTTTGAGATGTAATACAGGTTAACGCTATGTGAGGAGTTCATGGATTTGTGACACATAAAGACATCTTTCTTGGAGAATTCAGGAAAACATTCTTCATCCAATCCGGGTTCGGGTATGAATGACTACTTTAAAGCGCAGACATCACTAAATGTTTCTGTACTAGGTTGTTTACTACCACTGAAGTCTTTCAAAAGTCTTCATATATTGAAAGAACCCATGCATGAAAAAGAATCCTTGATTATATACACGATTCAGACGTTTAATGTATAACTTTATTAAAATGTTCATTTGACAAGTACCAACGTTATTACTTAATTAATAAAGCCCTTCTTTTCCTCTACTTTGTTTCTTAACCTGATGAGTAGGCAGACAATCAAACTGTAGAACTAGTTTTCCTTAGTGAAGCAACAAAGATATCTAGGCTAAACTCGAGATAACATTTCACAGTATCATTGGTGTCATTCAAAATATCACTGTTAATTATATTCCAGGCTATAACTCTCTCCGATGAAATATTTCCATAGTGTAATAAGAAGATCACATGCCAAGTAATTCACAATGGGAAGCTCAGTGATGATTTTGCAGTGAAGTGAAGACAGGAGTGAAACAAGGTTGCCTACTATCCCCCATGATATTCCTGGTTGTGGTCGACTGGATCATGCAGCAAACAGTAGGCAGCGAGAAGAGGGGGATACACTGGACTGTGGAAAAGAACCTAGAAGACTTGGATTTCGCCAACGATGACTTGAGCCTGATGTCACATAAACTTGAAGATCTACAGGCGAAAACTAACAAGTTGGCAGAAGAGGCAGTGAAGACGGGACTTCAAGTGAATATAGAGAAGACAGAGGTGATGAAGATACCGCACCACCACCATCAACAACAACAACAACAAACTCCAATCACCGTCAACGGGAGAAACTTAAAGGAAGTAACCTCCTTCACTTATCTAGGAAGCACTGTTTCAACTACAGGTGGCGGGACGGACGAGGGCGTCAAAGTCAGAATCGGAAAAACAGCAAGACAGGCGTTCATTAGCCTGAAACCAGTGTGAAGATCTTCTGCACTCAGCATGTGGAACAAGATACGGATTTTCAACACCAATTCAGTCAAGTCGGTGCTTCTGTATGGTTCGGAGACTTGGCGCGTCACGAAAGGGATTTCCAATAAACTACAGACATTCATCAACAACTGCAGTCTACGCTCGCTACTGGAGATCAGATGGCCAGAAAGAATAAGCAACAAGGAACTCTGGGAACGAACCAACCAAGAACCTATCGCTCAACAAATACGTAGAAGGAAGTGGAGATGGATTGGGCATACGCTGAGAAGGCCGACTGAGGACATCACGCGTGAGGCCAGTTGCTCGAGTGGAATCCCCATGGGAAGCGACGAGTTGGACGTTGGCGATGAGGGTGACATGGAGGAGGTCGTGCGAGGAAGAAATGAGAGCTTGTGGGCTGTCGTGGAACCAGGTTCAAAAGATCTCAGAGAACAGAGGTCACTGGAGACGTGCTATTGAAACCCTATGTTCCACTAGGAACCCAAGGGACTAATAATAATAATAATAATAATAAGAAGAAGATGTAGAGATTATCTGAGAAATGTACCGTGTATTCATGCAATATATTTTGAACAATCTCATCACACACACACACACATTTACTTGTCAAGGCATTTTATATAAAGGATGAAAACAGAGTAGGGTGAGGTAAAATAAATAGCTTAGTTGGTAGAGCATGGTGTCGGGAACCAGACGGTCATTGGTTCGAATCCGGTCACCGTCCACATTTTCATTTCAACTTCATCCAGTAGAAATATTAGTCTATCAAACTATACCTACCATCTTAGACACTTAAAATACAAATTAAGATAATACACCCGGGGAGTAATGTTGTTCCCGACGGGACTCAAACTCGAGACTGGTCGCCTCAAACTGCAAAGCGTTACCTACTAAACCACCAAGCCATGATAGCCACACTTGTGCAACGGTTATAGTTGTAGTGTTATTGCCCAGAGGTAATAATAATAATAATAACATTGACGAAACCATTTGCAATATGTATGATTATGTTGATGATAAGAACCAGGAAAGTGGCATAAAAATGTGGTCATCCCGATAATCAAAGCGGGTGAAAAACTGATTTGGGAAAATAAAAGTTACGTAATACCGAAGGGCGAGGTAATTGGATGAACAAAGTCTAAGCAAATATTGTAAGTATATGAAATGGATGAAGAATGAGAAAAGCGGTAGGAAAGCAACTCAATGATAAAGTTGTTAATTAAGTATTCCCTGGTCTAGGGAGAGAAAAAGCATGCACAAACTTCTTCCGGATACAAAGATTAGGATTATTAGCTCGAATTCCTACAGCTTCTGCTATGTATTCCAGCAGACAGGTTCGAATACCCTTCAAAAGATAAGGTGTTATGCAATGAAAAAGCGTGAAAGTATTGCTCTTATCTACTAAATGACCACTATCAACGAGATGAGATAAAACCGAACCTCTGATGGATTTTATCTATCCCTTTCCCAACTATGAAGATAGATGCTCAGTAATAAGTTTGTTAAATTGTCTACTAGTACACCGTGTATAGCTTTCTCCACAGGACTCGCTAAACTTGTGAATACACTTAAAAACGGCATAACTAGATACCTTATCTTTGATCTGAGCGGTAACAATTGGTCGACTGGAAAATGATAAACAGAGTTGCGTGGCATATATGGTCCTCTCAACAGCTCTAGAGAGCCTCAAATATAAAATTCTCCGGCTACATCCCCATTAAATTGCAATTTGATAAAAAACAGTTTCTTCTGTATGGTAATAATGTCAGGTTTGATCCTCCTGGATTTGTCCATGCGTCTTTTTATGAAACTGTTAGAGTAGCCCATTTCAACCAATGAATTATGAATATATTCTAACTTCTTCTGTACTAAATAATCCGAATATATTTTTCTCGCTCTGTTGTAGTGAGTCGATTAACCAGGTTTGCTTTGTACGGAAAGTGTATGTGGCTGTGTACTGACTTATAGATGTGGTTTTCCTGTAAACACATCTGTTGAGGGAACTATCTTCTCTTCTGCTTAGCAAGACATTCAACAAGTGTGCTTTACTTGCATTTTGCTCCTCACAAATGAAAGTGATTGAAGGGTGAACCTGAATAGATTTTTTTTAACACCTCGTTTACATCCTTATGGTGATCTAGGCTAATGAATATGTGATCAATAAGACGGTGATACATAGTCATCTCATTCATGACATCTTTCAATGCTCCGTTCTCCAGTTTGACAAGAAATATATCAATTGAAATAGGTCTGGGTGGTGAAGCCGTAGCTATTCCATCAATCTGTCTATAATGAGAACTATTGAAGACGAAGTGTACATTTAAGAAGCAGCTCCTTGAGAATGTATATAGGAATCCCGATGTTGATTTGCCTTTCCAATGTTTGTTGACATATAAACTCTACCATCTCCAGTAATGGCACATTAGGGAATAGTGATGAGATATCAAGCTTTATCATATGTTTCCCGCTTACATTCAAGGACGTTTTGTACACTGTAATTAACGAATTCTTTGTGTAAGGGATGTAAAATCTTTAGTAACCACTTAGCAACTACATGGTAAGCGGGAGTTAGACATGTCTAAAACTGGAGGAAGGGGGAGTTCGTGGAATGTTACTCCTCGTCGTATGTGGACTTAGAAATTGTCTCACATTCCTCTGGTTTCTTGGAGGTGTCTATTATCTCCTTCACCACTTTTCCATTTAAGTCTAGACTGTAAAATCTGAGGAGGATGTTATTCGCTTATATACATCTTGTTGCAAATTGAAACAGTTAACGAATGACTGGCTTATATTATTCCATTATTATTTGTCCCTTGGGTTCCTAATGGAACATGGGGCTTCATTAGCACATCTCCATTACACTCTCTTCTCTGCAATCTCTGCAACCTGGATCCACAACAGCCCACAACCTATCATTTACTCCTCACATGATCTCCTCCATGTCCCCAAGCCTCCAACGCCAAACTCGTCATTTACCATCGTGGTTCCAATCGATGTCCTGGTCTGGCGCTTTACGCCCCCAATCGGCCTTCTCACTGTATGCCCAATCCAATCCATCTGAACTTCCTTCAAATGCATATTTGTTCAGTGATAGCTTCTTGCTTAGTTGGTTTGTTGCCAGCCAGACAGCCAGACAGCCACACTTCCTCCTTCCTTATTCTCTCTCGCAATCCAACTCAGCTTCACTACCAACCAAGTGTAGGCAGTTATTGATGAATATCTGTAGTTTGTTGGAAAGGCTTTCCATAACACGCCAAGTCTCTCAACCATCACACACAAACACTGACTTCACTGATATTAGAAGTGTTGAAAATCGGGATATTGTTGATGCTTTATGCTGAGTGTAGTGGAGAACATGTGCACACTGGTTTCAGGTTAATGTGGGAAGGCGTGTCTTGCTGTCTTTCCCATCCTGAGTGGATTTGACGTTGTGGTGTGTGCCACAACCTGTAGTTGAGAAGATGCTGCCTATGTATGTGAAAGAGGCTACTTCGTCTAAGATTCTCCCGTTAATGGTGATTGGTGTCTGTTGTTGTTGTTGGTGGTGGTGTTTGTTGGGTATCTTCATCACCACTCTCCATCTTCTCTACGTTCACATGAATTCCCATCTCCCTTCACTGCTCTGCCCCGCCCTGCCATGCCCTGCCCCGTCCTGTCTCTTCTCTCAACTTGTAAGTTTTCGCCTGTAGATTTTCAAGTTTGTGTGATATTAGACACAAGTCATCATCGGCGAAATCCAAATCTTCGAGGATCTTTTCCTCTGTTCAGTCAGCCAATCTCCCTCTTCTCACTCCTCACTGTTTATTGCATGATCCAGTCGAGTCCATCACAATGAGGAAGATCATGGTTGATAGTGGGTGACAGTCTTGTTTCACTCGAGTCTTCACTTGAAAGATATCACTGAGTTTTCCATTGTGAATCAGTTGGCATGTGGTGTCTCCATATATGTGTTGATTGAGGTAGGTGGATGTTTGTGGTATTGCGTAGTGTTGAAGCAGCAGTTGCCAAATTACTTTTCTGTAGAAATTGTTGAAGGTAAGGTAGAGGGTTGACTGCGATTCTATACTCTGTTCTATGATGATGAGAAGTATTTCAATTTGATTTATACTTCCTGAATCCAGCCAGCCTGCTCCGGTAGTAATTTTGAATGGAGAGCATATTGTAGTCTCTCCAGTATGATGCGGATTAATATTTTGCTTGCCTTGGGTAGACAAAAGTGGAGCGAGATTCCGCGCCAGTTCTTGCAAAGACTTCGGTCGTCCTTCTTCTGGAGTTTGACAAGACATCCCTTCTTTCAATCTTTAATGACTGGATACTTGTATAAAAAGTGAATGGAATATTTGATTTGTTTGACCTTACATCATTAATTTCTTTTATCTCATTTTAGAATTTGTTGCTATGCTTAAAGAAAACTCTAGTGAATAAACATTCATTCATATCATCAATGTGGTCACAGTTATTTTCTTTATTGAGTTCATCTAATATTTTGTCGAATATATCACTTTTAGTTCAGCCTTATATTCATATCGAACAGCATACCTACATTAAACTACATTAACGGAACATATTGTATACATCTAACTAACAATGTATGGTAAACAAGTGTTGATTGATGACTGTATTGAACACTTAAATCATTGTAGAATAATGAAAATATACTGTTTATAAGATAACTAACTACATGCCTTTTGACTAATTGGGTACAATGTTGAATAGGTTGGAAATCCAGAAAGTCATGACAACAAATGGAAGAAAATACTAACAACGAAGCAAACAAATAAACGAAATATACTTATTCATTGTTTATTTGTCCCTTAGATTCCTAATGGAACATACAGCTTTGTTCAGCAGCAAGTCAACATTTCAGTCTCTTCTCTCCAGTCCTCCTGACCTGGCTACACGATTACCCATAAGCTCCTATTTCTTCATCACACCATCTACTCAATATCACTCTGGTCTCGGACACCCAACTGGTACTTTCCTATTCACGGTCCACTCAAGGGCCTGGTGCTTAATGTCTTATATCGGTCTGCTCTGTATATGCACAATCCATCTGCATATTTGTCGGGTGATAGGTTATTGCTTCGTTGACTCGGTGCCAGCCAGCCAGCAAGAGTTCCTCCTTGCTTATTCTTACTATTATGGTCATCCATCTCATCTCTATCTTCAGTATCCAGTGAGCGTAGGCTACAGCTGTTGATGATATATGTGTGCAGACTGTTGGAAATGCTTTTCGTGACCCACCAAATCTCTCAACCATCACACGCAATCACTGACTTGACTGACATTGGTTGTGTTGAAAATCCGGATCTCGTTCGTCCCTTATACAATGATTTCAGATTAATGAAGGAATGCCTATCTTGCTGTCTTTCCGATCCAGCCTTTGACATTCACGTATATGCTTGTGTCACCTGTAGTTGAAGCGATGCTGCCTAGGTAGGTGTGGGGTGGGTAGGTAGGTAGGTAGGTATAGATATGTAGATGATAGCTTTGTGACAGTCAAGAAAATCGAACTGTATAATTCCGTATCGGGAAGGTACTTTACATGAAATTATAACAGTTCATTCAAAGTATGATATCAAGGTAGATTTCAAACCTTCGAATCTCTTAGAAAAAGTCTTAGTCAAGGCAAAAGACGTGATCCCAAAGATGATACAAAACAACCGTGTGTATAAGATAAAATATACAGAATGTAAAGTCAATTATATGAATAAACGTTGTAGACAGCTGAAAGTTAAAGTGAATGAACATAGGCTATGTAGCAAACACCTACTGAAGAATGAAGTAGAATTGAAAAGTTTGGAATAGAGGTCATCAATAACAATGTACACCATTGTAGGTGAGCATAATATCGATTTTCACAATAACGATATATTAGGGATAGGCTTCCTTACACATAAACAAAAAAGATTGACCTCAGTGGAGGCTTCCATATTTTAACATCAACAGATGCTTTGTACATAAAGGAAGGTAATATAAGTCAATAGTATAATTGTTTTTTTATATCATACCGTCGTTGAGTGGACCGAATTGATGGGTCTCTGTTGGTATATATGGGCTCCTGTGAGGATGCCTCGATATTACCCGTGTTCTAATCATAGTAATGATGGATAGTGGTTAACAGTGGAATCCAGAATGAGTATGGTGTAGTGGATAACGCTCTGACGTTTGCAGTGATAGCTCCAGAGTTCGAATCCTGGTAGGAACAACATCACTCGCTGGGAGGCAGATACATCCAGCTGATGAGTCCCAAAAAGGACGAAGTGAGCATCCTGGATCCCACTGCTAGCCACTACCCATTATTAATACAAGTCAATTATTGTGGATGTATAAACATATTTTCCATATTTTTATACAATAAACAACGAATGATACACATTTTCCATAGGAACATTTACATATGTTGTATAGATTTTCGATGACTAACTGGAAACAATCAATCTGAACAACAAAACAGTTAACTAATGACATAAAGACAGAAATTCATGCATATACTACTTAAAAGTATATATTTTGATACTGGGTGATGATAAATACAAGTCTGTCAAACCATAGTTATCTCTAATAGTTAAGTGATAATCAATACATTTTGATATTGAATAAAAACCCAAATAATCTGTTGAAGAAGCTGCGAAAGGCTCAGAATAATCTTGTTTTCGATTTTCTCATCAAGTTCACTCTCCTCTCTGAGTTCTATACACTCTACGCGCCATCCCATATCGGTACCTTTATCATTTTCGCTATTGCCATCGTTATTATATATTATGGTAATTTACTTGGTTGTGCCTGGCAGAGTAGTTCAGGATGCCCGATTCATCCAATTTAAGACGTGGCAGCTGAATGTACCTGCACTTCAGCGGGTGGTGTTGTTCTCAGTGAGACTGGAACCCCCTACCTATAACTTCAGACGCTAGAGCAGTATCCAATAGACCACTGAGGCATGATAGCCATCGCTTGTTCAACGGGTATTAGCCATAATTATTTGTTGATATGCTTGTAATTCTCCGTTGTTTTACTGAATTGAATTGTTCAACCTCTCAGTGGAAACAACATCACTCACTACAGTGCAGGTACATCCGGCTAACGAGTTCCAACTGGAACGAAACGCATGTACTGGATTCCTCCATTAGCCACAACCAAATGACTTCCTATAATAAATATTCAGGCAATGTCGAGGTATCCGCATAGTGGCCCGTATGCCAACAATGGTCGAACAATTCGATCCAGTATAACAAGTATATCAACAAGTTGTAGCAGTGATGGAAAGTGGCTAGCAATGGAATCCAGGGTACACATTTCGTCCTATTGGGGACCCATCAGCTAGATGTTCCCGTCTCCCAGTCAGTGATGTTGTTCCTACCGGAATTCGGACTCGGTAAAGATAGCTTCGAACGCCAGAGCGTTATCCACTACACTACCGAGCCACGACAGCCACTTCTTGTGCGATGGGTATAGTTTTAGTATTACTGCTTGTATTATACAGTCGTTCATTGGATCTAATTGATCAATCTCTATTGGCATATATGGGCTCCTGTGCGGATGCCTCGATATTGCCTATGTTTTAGTTATGTATAGTAATGATGGACAGTGTCTAGCAGTGGAATCCAGGAGGCAGACACATCCAGCTGACAAGTCTTAAATGGTACGAAATGCGCAGCCTAGATTCTACTACTAGCCACTGCCCATCATTACTATACATAATTGAAATACAAGCAATATCGAGGCATCCTCACAGGAGCGCATATGCCAATAGAGACTGATCAATTCGATCCAATCAACAATGGCATAATGCAAACAATTATGCTACATCAACAAATTATTATATATTGTCTGGGGTTCATATATTCATCTTTCTAAAGTTGTAATTTTTACTTTTTAGACCGCTGATGACTCCCAATTCTATAGTCTAACTAAATTTCCCCCCAGCCTATATATGTCCCAGTTTACTTGTACAAGTGGAAAAAGCCATTCTGATCAATTTACAAATTCACTCACCTGCACTACATTGTTCTTTGTATGTTTGTTTTTTCTCATAAGCAAATAATACTTATCTAAGGTGAAAAATCATATGAATATGGGATAACAAAGTAACAAGGGTTTTTTGTTCAAGCAGTAAACATTTATGGGTATAAGAAGAAATTAGTGAGATATGTGTCTTGGTCAAATTCCTTAATTGAACCATATCAATGGAATGTTTAGGTATCAGTTCATTAATACACCTTCTTCTGACAAGTTACAATCACCTAATTATTGAATAGTAGTAGATATACTGTAATATGGTGTAAATTTTCATTAAAGACACTCTAAATACACTTCAATATGGATCGAAAGAAACAAAGTAAAGTAGAGACTGGTTGAAATACACTAGCCAGATCGCGTGTACTCAAATAATAATAATAACAATAGTAATAGTAATAATAACTCACTTTATTCCAAGCAATTTTTGGTACAGTTTGAAATTCTCAGTATCATACATCTTAACAACAACACAACAGATGTGTATGTCTATCCTCCTTATTACAACATTTCAATGAGATTATTTTAACTGTTACAAAGTTGATATGTGTGAGTTCTGTTCTGTCACTCTTTTCTCCTCACATAATGTGCATGCTAGGTAAGGTACAGTCGGATACTTGTGCTTAGCTGTACGAACAAACAGTCATATATAGTTTCTTCTTGTCCTCCCTGAGGAGAGATACAAGGAGAGAGAACTCGGAATGATGAAATGGATATTCAGCGTCATTTAAAATTATGGTAGCTAGCTGCTTGCTGGAATTTAAATGTCTATCAGTTGAGTCAGAGGCACACCACTCACCCTACTGACTGACGGCTTTGAAATCCCTACACAATATAACACATATTCCTATTTCACTAGTAGACCAGGAAAGATCAACACAAAACAATAGAGGGGGATAGGTAAAATGCAAGAATTAATAAAACGTAAAAGTAGAGGCATCGAGTTATACCAGACAGCTTAAGTTTCTTTATCTAATGCGTTAAACGTTAGATTTCCGTGGGATTATTATTATTATTTGTCGCTTGGGTTCCTAATGGAACATGGGGCTTCATTAGCACATATCCATTGCACACTCTTCTCTGAAATCTCTGCAACCTGGCTCCACAACAGCCCACAACCTCTCATTTACTCCTCACATGATCTCCTCCATGTCCCCAAGCCTCCAACGCCAAACTCGTCATTTACCATCTCAGTTCCACTCGACGGCATGGTCTGGCGCGTTACGTAAAAAGTCGGCCTTCTCACTGTATGCCCAATCCAATCCATCTGAACTTCCTTCAAATGCATATTTGCTCAGTGATAGCTTCTTGCTTCCAGCCAGCCAGCCAGCCAGCCAGCCAGCCAGCCAGCCAGCCAGCCAGCCAGCCAGCCAGCCAGCCAGCCAGCCAGCCAGCCAGCCAGCCAGCCA